CTGTCCCTCCCCCTCGGGGACCTTCCCTCCTGGTTTCTGAGCTTGTGGCGAGAGAGACATCAGTGAGGAGAATCATGGATCGGCTGCCTCCTGCACGCCCCTATTGGGGATCGAGCCCTCAACCTGGGCAATTGCCCTGACCAGAATCAAACCCGGGACCCTTCAGTCTGCAGGCTGTTGCTCTCTCCAAACCAGTTAGGACGCCACCGTGGATCTTTTTACTGATCCACAGTTTGCCTTTCCCACCTCATCTGCCCGTCCGTCCTTCTGTCCGTCTGTCCCGGAACCTGCCTGACCCCTCTTTTCTGCTCCCCTCCAGGCCTCGCCAAGCCCATGGGTCTGGTGGAGGGCCCGGGGGGCCTGGGCCAGATCTCCCTGGACAGGACCATCCCCGACTACAGGCCCAAAAAGTGAGCAGGGACCTCCCACGGGGTCCTCCCCCCGTCTTCCTCCTCCCCTTTCCTCCTCCCCTCTTCCTCCTCCCCTCCCCCTCTTCCTCCTCTCCTGCCTCCCCTCCCCCTGCCGGCCGTGGGCTCCAGACACAGCCTATCACACAGACCCTGTCCCTCCCCCTCGGGGACCTTCCCTCCTGGTTTCTGAGCTTGTGGCAGGGGGTGGGCGTCCGATTCGCGGCCCAGCGACAGGACTGGCTGCTGGGTCCCTTTGACGCGGACGTTTGTCGGTCTAAGAAAGCCAGGCTGGGCCACCGCAGGCCCTCACGGCGCTGCCACGGACACGAATGCCACACGTGGCCGTGTTTTTGGTCCCGAGACGGCAGTTCTGTGCCCGTGTCGCCGCCGCAGGGCTACCCCGTCGCACGCCTCTCCCCTTAGCACCGTATCCGTGCCCCTCTCTCTGGGGGTGGACAGCTTTCTAGTTAAGCGGCGGCTTCATGTGCCACGAAGCACAGGGCATAGATCTAGGCCACTGAGCCTGGCCCAGGGGACCCTGAGAGGAGAACCAGCAAATCCACGTGAAGCAGGATCGTAACCGCGCCCCACCTTGCATCCCAGCGCTTACGGTCCCCTCCGCCCCGCGTCCCGAGGTCTGCGTGCGTGTTAACGTCGAAGCTGGGAGCAGCGAGGCGTCCAGCAGGTGCAGACCGAGTGGGTGGCGAGCGGGAGGCATCCCCGGTGCCCGTCCGGGCGCTGGCCTGGGGTCTGCTCCCCGCCTCCCGCCCGCAGGGCCCGCGAGGCGAGAGGGTGGGTGTCTGTGACGACGAGCAGGGAGACTCGGTGTCCACACGGACGTGACCATGTTGTGTGGCTTGTTCTGTGGGGAAAGGCACCTGCTCTCTCTCCTCGTCGGGAGGGACTGCGCAAAGCCACGCCCCCACAGACAGTTCGTCTGCACGGGGGGGCCACCCTGCCTTCCGCCAGCCCCCAAGCTGTCTGTCTGTCCGTCCGTCTGTGGCTGGGAAGGAGGTGTGTGCAGGGAGGGCAGGGGCCTCGGGAACAGGGTCTCCCAGGGATGGTCGCGAGGCCGGCAGCCTCCCACGGCTCTGTCCTCTGAACAGGCTGCAGGCCCGTCCTGTTTTTAAAAATACATTTTTACTGACGTCAGAGAGGAAGGGAGAGAGAGAGAAACATCCATGATGAGAGAGGATCATGGACCGGCTGCCTCCTGCACGACCCCCCACTGGGGATCGAGCCCACGACCCGGGCCTGTGGCCTGAGCGGGAATCAAACCCTGACCTCCTGGTTCATAGGTCAACACTCACCACTGAGCCACGCTGGCCGGGAGCGGTGGCCCATCCTGCAGAGGCTAATGGGAGGCCGAGGGGACAGACGGACGGGCGGACTCCGTCTCAGAAGGACAGTTCTGTGGGGCTCTCCAGGCTCCTGCCTCGGGCCCCACGATTGCCCCGCCAGCTGGAAGGCTGGTGTCAGTGTGGCCCCACTCACATCGGTGCCCCTGGGTGGGTGGGACAGTGTCACCCGTGGGCAGATGCCGCCACCAGGAAGGCCTCCAGGATGTCAGGGGCAGAACCGTCTCGGGTGACACTTCTGCGAACCCTCTCCAGCTGTTCCCAGAAGCCTCGTCAAGGTCTCGATGTGAGGCAGCTTCCTGGCTGCGCTGAGCCCAGACCCGGGGCCTGGGCAGGAGGCGGACGTGCGCACGGTCCACCAGGCAGGGCTCACGCTCCCTGGGAGGCACGCCGCTCTCCATCCTCTCCCCGGAGCTTTATGTCTCCAGAGGCACAGAGGGCGTCCCCATCAATCTCCATCAGCGTCGGCCGCGGCCCCGTGTCCCACGAGGCCAGCCCGGCTCCGCCTGCCCGCGACC